CCAAGTCCTGTCCCAGTGCCTTGATCTTCTCTGCAGAATCCGCTGCGTTGACGTCGATAACCTCGACCTTGATGCCAAATCCCTGAGCTCTGCTCTGGATGACTGAAATAGACTGAGGGTGAACGAGGTGTGAGACAACAAAGGTCTTGCCGGGTCTCTTGGCCCGGGATGATGAAAGAGCGTTCATGGAGAGAGTCATGGCCTCAGCGGCGGCCGTACCCTCATCCAACAGACTGGCGTTGGCAATGGGAAGCCCGGTCAAATCGGACACCATGGTCTGGTAGTTAAGAAGCGACTCAAGGCGGCCCTGGCTGATTTCGGGTTGGTAGGGGGTGTAACTGGTGTACCAAGCAGGGCTCTCGAGGACGTTGGTCTGAATTACACGGGGCGTGACGCTGGGGTTGTATCCAGCACCGATAAGAGGCTTCGGAGCCGCCTCGTTGGCCTTGGCCCAGGCAGTGGCTCTCGCCAGAACTTTGCTCTCATCGAGGGGGCCCTCATTGTCCCAAGCACCAAATGTCTTCCTCTCGGAGATGACATCCGGAGGGACAACCTGGGCAATAAACTCGTCAATTGACTTTGCCAGAGGGTCGAGCGCCTTCAGCATGGCCTCAGCATCGGTAACATCAGGTCCGATGTGTCGGGGAATAAAGGACTCGGGCCTCTGCAGCGGCTCAAGGGAGGGATCGACTGAGCCAATCTTTGCACTGGTGGCATTCTGAAGAGCTGCAAAGGCGCTGAATGTCCTCACACGGGGAATCCGCGAGGACGATGCCGAGCTTGACACACATGAGTTGCAAACCCACGAGGAAGCAGGTGTCTGGCGGGCGGCGATCCTTGACCTCGGGGCAGCCAGCCGAAGCTGGCGGGGGAGGGGCAATCTCAGTGATGCCATTGTGTGAAGTGAGTAGAGTGGCAATTCACACAAAGAAGATGAAGATGCCAGCAGACTCTACAATGTCGGAGGTGTGTCTTGAAGAAGAGTAGAAAAGAAGAGAGGAAGGGAAGAAGGGCAGGTGTTGTGGTTGAGAGAGTCGTGCGAATAGAAGTATTGCTCGGATCTGGGGCCGATATCGTTGTAGCTCAAGAAGTAACACCCTTGTCGCCACCAACTTGCGATCCGAGATGCGACTCGGGATAAAAGCGACCAAGCTCTCGCACGCAGCCCAAAAACCGTTTCAAAACACCTGAATCCAGGTCTTGACGCGAAAGAGGTTTCTGTTGAGCAGATGGGATGATTATTAGGGAAGAATAAATGGAAGCCAAAGTAAACGTATACAACAGAACAGCTTCCGGAATGCTCTTCAAATATGAAGGAGTCGGTGAGGGCGAGCTCGAGGACCGGCAGCCATCCGCCCTTTCGTTTCTTTCTTTTTGCGGCAACGGCTACTTATCGAGACAGCGGTACGTACTACATAGTTAAAACACCAAAGGTACGGATACCAGGCCACCAGACGTGGCCAGGGATGCCGTTCCTGAGTCGTATACCTACCTACCTTCATAGTAGCATAGTAAGGTTGGGTATGCACAAGTAGATCTCCCTACGAATTACAGAGTGAGATACAGACTACTGTGTCTGCATGCTGGACCGCCCGCTCGTTCGCCGCCGCAACGGACACCCTAAACACTCGACGCCAAACACCAGCTCTTTCGGTTGGTTACGGGATCCCTGGGAACCGCGCACCAACACCCTGAGAGGTGAGGGTGGGAGGTGAGGCTTGGCCTTATCGGGCGCGCAGCGGCGCTCGCTGATAAGCGCGGTCAAAACGATAGGGAAGCTTGATGATGAGTGCCAGTTGGATTATGATCCGTAGCCTGTAGGTGGGCTCCAGTTCCCCAGCCATTCCCTGACTTTGGGGCCCTGGCGCGTTGGGCAAACTGCTCGGCGAGCCATCCATGAGCCGCCGCCATTACGTCCAGAAACGGATGTGAAGGCCAATGACAAGTCGTGAAGGGTGGCGGGCGGGAGACAAGGTTCTGGGGCTCTCGTTCGCGCAGTGTATTCCCAAGCGGTCGTTTGGTTTGAAGGGTTGGAGGTGCGCGGATGAGAAACCGAGTGCTCGGTCAGAGAGCCGAGTATACCACCACCACAGACCTGCCACCAAGAAACGTTTCCCGGTCCTGTCTCTTTTCATAAACTTATGCTCACCAGCCGCCTTACCTAAGCGACCTTGCTTTTGTGCATGTGCAAATCCGATTAGGTAAGGAGAGTGAGTATCTAAGCATGCGCCTGTGGAGACCTCAACTTTGGGGCTCTAGGTACGTACCGGCCGGGACGGAGCTCGAACGATGGAGCTTCTCTAAATTTTTGCGACGACATCATCGCTGTACCTGGCACCGACGCGAAATCCCAATCACGAACGAACCGTCCATCTTGCACCCTCGCCCACGCCTATCCACTTCCTTCAAGTCAATACTACTAAGCTACCAACAAGATGTTCGGAGGATGTACGTTCCGTATCTGCCTTATGCGAGCCGAATTGCACCGAAAGCAACGCTGACCATCTTTCCCTGCAGTCGCGCCCCCCCAGCTTTCCGAGGAGGAGATCAAGCAGATGGAGGCCGAGGCCAACTTCTCCATCCAGCAGGTCGTCGTCTCTGCCGTCCTTCTGTACCTCTGTAAGCGCAAACCTTTCTCTTCCTGTACATGCAAATAGATCTTAAGAGTAGATGCTAACGAGAGACTCCTTGTCCAGCCCCTTTTGTCATTGATGCCGCCTCCAAGGTCCTGTAAAGGACTTGCCATTCACCAACGACAAATCGATGAGCTTGCCATAGTTCAGGATCACGACAATAAAATAAGAACCGTGGGGGGGGGGGGGTGCTCTCTACGAGCAATCTGGTTGCGGCACTAATGAAGCGCTGCTAGCCACCAACCCGCCTCAGGGATGTGTAATGGGAATAATTACCCCTGTTGTAAAATAAGTATCATCTGTACAGTGTAGACGACGACTGGTTGGATGGACAATGGGTATAGATCACATCGGAATCAGGTTTAAAAGAAATCACGACTTTTGTTCAAAGCTTTCCTTCGCTTCTTGCGTTGTTGGAGGGAATACCCTCTCTCAGTCCTTCTTCTTGATGCGGCTAGTAGGCCATCTCCCTTATGCGTTCATCCCGTACATAAAAGCGTCCGCTCGCGCCATCCTCTATCATGACACACCTGGTAATAGCCTTCATCCCAAACGATCTAGATACCCTAGCTCGGGTTCCGCTCTTTCTCCCAGTCCGCAAAGTCTTTTGTAATGGACTCGACTTCCTTCTTGAGATGCTGGATTTGCTTCTCATAATCTTCCAAGACCTATAATCACTGTTAGCGACCAGAATTAAATGATCTGCCGGAGCACAAAACCATACCTTCTTCGTCTTGTGCTCAGTCTCCTCGCTCAAACCCTCGCCGCTCGCAAAAGCAGGCTTATTCGTCTCCTTCATCAGCTGATCCGCGTAGTCTCTGAGCACGATCAACCGGCTCCAGAGCTCCTCCTCTCTCGCCGCCAGAGCAGGATCCTGCACGTTGCGCTCCAGCTCCGCCAGCTTGAGTCGCAAATCATCCTCGTCACCACTCAGAGCGTATCCGCGGTTGCGCAGCACCTGCACGCGGGCAGCCAGCGCGAGACACCGCTCGCGAAGGACGACGTGACGGCGACGGGCCGCAAGGGCACGCACACTGGTCTCGAGGTCGTGCCGCGAGAGGATCGCGTCAAGGCTGGCGTTGATCTGGTGCAGGCGCACGTTGAGTTCCCCCACTACCTTTTTCTGCGTCTGGAGGCGGGCCGCGACGCCAGAGAAGCCTGTGCAGAGAACCGGGATGTAGCCCGGCGCGGGTTTCTTCTGCAGCGCCTCCTCCCAGTCTCTCGGGTCTTCGTGTGGGCCAGGCTTGTAGAAGGGGACGGAGGCTTCGTCGACTTTGTTGTAGAAGTAGTGCTTGAACGCGCAGTTGGGGTTCGTGGGGTTCCACTTCTCGAAGATGAGGGACATTTGTTCGGGAATGGGCTTTTGGTTCTCTGCAGTATACAAGTTAGCATTGATCCAAACGTAATAAGCTACCGAACGAGCACAGGAACGTACGAGGCGTATCCCTTCCGGGTTGCCAGAGTGAGCTCGAGAGCTGTGCTTGCGATTGCGACAGGCTGGGCATTTGTTGTTGCTGCTGCTGTTGCTGCTGTTGTTGCTGCGGCTGCTGAGACTGAGCCATGGAGTTGCCGAATGCGCCTCCCTGGGTCTGGTTCTGGTTCTGTCCTCCGAACAAGCTCATGCCGGATTGCTGCTGCTGTTGTTGCTGTTGCGGCTGCTGCTGTGTTGACTGTCCTAATGTGCTGCCGCCGAAACTACCTCCCCCAAAGAGACCTCCAGTCTGCCCAGCGGGCTTTGGTGCGCCGAACAAACTCATGGTGTGGAATGAGCGTTAAGGATTTTTTCGATGGTGTTCGAAGCAAAGCGTAGGCCCGTCGCGTGTGTCGTCGGATAACGACGATTGGTGCGCGAAGTTGCAGCGAAATGCAAGCAATAAGCCAAGAAGCTCAGCGTAAAATCGATGAAGGAATTGAGGTGAGGGACTGGCGGGTATCAAAACGAAGAGAAACTTCCAGGAGCAGCCAGGGCGCGAAGAAGGCGGTCGACCGCTTTTTTCCTCTCTCAGGCGTTGGCGGAGATGGCTCGCTGGGTATCAGTCGCAAGGCTGTTCAGAGCTACCCTTGGGAGACGAGGACCGAGCCCAGCAACGCGAAAATAATAAATCGGAGCTTGCTGCTGCTGTAGCCTTCACCGAGCGCCACACTTTCCCAGACCGAGCCACCTTGCAAATAGGCCATACCCCAGCCACACTAGTTCCACTTCAGCCTCGCCACCAACCGATCCAATCAGGCGTCTCCTAAATCGACCTCACATCAATTCGTGGTAGCGTCCATTGCCCGGAAAGCTTGCTCTGGAGACCATCCGAACCGCCGATTCGACCACTCCCTTCCGCCCTCCTCCTAGGTCCCATCACAACAATCGCAGCCATGGCTAACCGACGGCCTCAGTACGTTCTCCGTCCCCCTTCCAGGCCGAATAGGCAGGCCAATTGAGCGAAACCACCGCCGAAGAAGACCCCAGGCCGATCGCGATACAGAGAGCTTTAGAGAGAGGCTAACACCCAGCGCCAGGTTCAACCAGCAGTTCCAGGTCGACACGACCCCTCTGCCCGACGATATCCCCAAGGTCAAGGAGATTGGTGCCAGCTCCGCGCCTCTTCTGTCGGCGTCCTACTTCATCGGTGCCCGTTGCCGCGAATACAATGACGACTTCATGCAGTGCAAGACGGACAGCGCGGGCCGCGGCGAGTTTGATTGTTTGAAGGAGGGTCGTCGGGTCACCAGATGCGCCTCCAGCGTGTACGTTGAATCCATTGCTATTGCAGCGAGCCTCGTTGTCATGTTGCCGACGGGCTGCCGCTCAATGGGTCGCGAGAGCAGGTGTTATCTGATAGGGATATCGAGTTGCTGACATGGGAACGACACTACATAGGCTGAAGGATATCAACACCCACTGCCTCGAGCAGTTCAAGGCTCACTGGACCTGCATCGAGAACCGTAACCACCAGCTTTACCAGTGCCGACCAGCCGAGTGGAAGCTCAACAAGTGTGTCTACGAGAACCTGGTACGTCATCATCCCGCGCATCCGTTCCAACACGAGGAAGGGAACGATCCCAACACTTCCTTCTGCCTTTCATGAAAACATCAGACTCGTAGCTAACACACTATCTCACCAGAAACTCGAGAAGAACATCCCCGACCAGCGCCCTGGCGTCACCCCTGTCGAGCTCCGCCACCACATGATCTACGCCGACCAAGCCATCAACACGCTCGAGGGCAAGCCCTTCATCCCCCCGTCAAAGCAACAAGCATCGTAGAGGTGTAGCAAGAGCAGACGGCGATATGAGGGTTTAGCAATTTCTTCCGCGTGAGCGCGCGGAGGGCAATCGAGGGCTTTGTGTTGAAGATGTAGGACTTGGAACAAGGCGATAGAAAACGCTGTGTACATATGTCATCAATCAGAGTTGGGATCAAACCAATGGCTTCACTTTTTTTTTTCTAAACATCTTTCGACCCAATTTTAGATCTTCTTTACTTGTTCTAATGTCTGATGCCGCTTCAGTCGGGTGCTCCTGTTGGTTGTTGATGAAGAGAGTGCTGAGACGTAGAGACCATCTTGACTGTTCTATGTCCGACGTAGGGCTCTGGAAGGCATGTGAACGATCTCTTTCTAGATGGAAGCGGCTAATCACATTGAGGTCTTAACTTCTCCAGGCCATGCTCAGCACCCCTTATAGTAAAAGTCAATCAAAGCAGCAAAAGAGTCCACCCCCCCCCCCCCCCCCCCCCCCCCCCCCCCCCCCCCCGGGCGCCCCCCCCCCCCCCCGCCTGCTCGCACCACCCACCGGCCCTCGCCCGCCGCCGCCGGGTGGGGGTGAGGTTTTCTTTCACCCCCCCCCCCCCCCCCCCCCCACAGGTGCTGAACTGGGGGCTACATCTCTGGCGCACTTGCTGGAAATCGAACTCGAACTCGGAGCCTGTCGCCGAATAGGCTGTGGACGTAATTTGATTGCCGACCTTGAACCACTCCACCACCCAGTCAGTTTGACCTGACCCATCGACCTAGACGGGCGCCTGCTGGCTGGTGACAGGAACGGGTTTGGAGAGGGTTATATACCTTTGGCTTCGCTCTCATAGGCGTCTTGGATGTAGACCAGATGAATATATGGTACATACACGTGATCCTATCTTGCCCAGCCCCCCGGGTTGCTGATGGCTTTCGGGTATCCTAAGTGATGGATCACTCAACTACGAGCCCGTCTCGCTGGAAAGGTAGCCTTGCCAAGATCACTATGACTTTTGTCGCCAATCTCTCGATCGTAGCAATCATGTGCATCCCAAGTGATCACGATATGATGTAGGAGATGATCGACCAGCAACACCACAGCCAGGAAGGCACAGCATCGTCAACACCACTCCGTCTCCTATTGAAAATACGATTCTCCCCTATTCACAACGAGCCGAGGCATCTGCCCGAAATGTCACAGCAAAGGAAGTAATTACCCGCCAGCATCCGAAACTTTGCGAACCTTCTTAAACCTCCCACTCTCTCACACTCGCTACCTCTCGCCGTCCCATCTTACCATTCGTAAGACAAATCAATCTACATAAACACCGCCAATCTGAGATGTCTCTCACAGGAAAGACAGGAGCCGAGGCTGATACCAGTACACCCGCAGAAACCGGGCGCCTTCACTTAACTACCACCATACGCTAACCCACATGCACATTAGAAGAAGTCCTTCAACACTTTGGACCGCAAGAGCCTCCTCAAACTGACTCTCTCTGCCCTGCCCATATCTCGTAAAGACATGTGACGTTACAATTGATGCCCAGGTTGCTTCCACGAGCACTAGAGTCATAAAGTAAAACAAGGTAAGCGTAAGCTCTTGTCTGAGCTGTCAGACACTGCAGTATCCAGCTGTCAGCGGGTAGCCGGGACATAAAGGGTCAGCGTGAGATGGGGCGGGGGCCAGTTCGGTTACGCCTTCTGCAGGAGTGACAAGGTGAGAAAGATTATGACATATTCTCTAGAGATGACACCTAGTATTCACTTCAGTCACATTTTGGTAATATTTCTGGGGGTGAGTGGGATCTTCTACTAATTGAGATGTGAGCAGCCACTCCAGCTTCGTCACAGATGCGATGTGAGATTAGTTGGGCAGCGAGCATGGTGATGTCGATGTTCCCAGCGAAGCTGGCTACGACTTGATAATGCTCGTAACCTGCGCTGCAGTCAGGCAAGAAATCACTCCTTTAGGCAAGACAAGCCGGTGTATCTCAGAGAGCACAATATGCTTCCGACGCAAGGCTTCACACAGGACAAGATCGCCACCACCTATGATTCACCACCTTTGACGAGACATAGAACACCTTTGTGGTCCCCCAAACCTTCGTAACCTTGTTGTCCTCAACCCAAGGTGGCCACACGCAGTCCACGTATTCCGCGCAGTCCTCTATAGCCCGCCAAGTTGGAGCGTACTGTCGGGGTGGGCGAGAAAGTACACTTTGGCCGAAAGGTTACGAGTGCGGCTTCTCCTTCACTGACGCGAACCTGCCATTTAAAGTCTACAGATGCCTGGCGTCTCGCTGTAGCATTATTTATGCCGGTTCGAACCTCTGTTTTTGACGTTTCCTTTTTTCGACATATCTTCTCTCCATTATTGAAGACATTTTGAATTGTGTTGTCCATTCATAAGTATTAAAAAGAAAGCAAATTTTGTCCGGCAAAACACCAGTCGAGAGATGGTGACACCAACGGGGATCGAACCCTAGCGCAACTTCCTAAAAAGACCTTCTGCTTCACGCAGACTACCTCTCCAGAGAGGCAAAATCTACAAAAGCCACAAAAGAAGCATAAAGGCGCTTCTACGCGGGTAGACGTTGTGTCGTGTGCCAAACGATGTAGGCGAACAGATGTAGTAAGAAACGATGGAGATGGGCATATAGAAAGCTGACGGGCTATTCTTTTCCTGCGCGACGGCGGCCCAGGCATCACACCGACGAAGATGGCCCGACCTAAAGATGCCGTGGAAAGAAATCAAACAACCGTAGCGGCTTATTTGGTTATTCAAGGAGAGCACGCGAAAGGTCTTACAGGTTCTAGAAAGGCCGTTCGGGTACAATTGCCCGGAGGAGGGACAATGAAGAGGACCAGCTGGGTAGGATGTGTGTCCCATGATTCTTGAATGTCTCTATCTGAGACATTGGGCCGGGGATGATGAGTCCGATGCCACCACGAGAAGCCATGCAGGCGAATCCAACATCTCTACTCAGTTTAGAGCCTTGATGCCACTTACCGGCAGAGACCAACAGAGACTCATGCTCTCGTCCGGGGAGAGTCGTACAAATCATAGCAGCAGCCGGCCATGTATTCTCCCCCAAAGTTGTCCAATCTGAGACTCAGAGTGCGAGGCCATCCGATCCAAGAACCGCGGCAATGTTGTCGTACAGTGTCTAAGCATGACTGAGTGTTATGTATTTGCCACATCGAGGAACCATTGCTAAAACTGCACTTGCTGGATGGTCCTCCATCGTTAAAGCGTTCGGCATCCTCAACCTGGGTGTTGCCTTCTTGTCTAAGACAGTGGACTAGATTCTGAACCCCGTGTTCAGATCCTGCGGCATTCGATCCCTTGGATCTGACTCCTTCATTGAGACTTCGTCAGCATCTCAAAAGAAACAGTCATTAGTGATATTCCCGCCACCATGATGCGTCAAAGGAAGCAATCCCATCGTGTTTGACGCTGTCGTGAAACCGCCGTTGGCTTGACGTCAGGGTTCTGCTGTCGACGATGTGAGCAGAGGGGAGATGGAGGGGCTCTATCATGCCAGGCGCTTAAAGCGGTATTAGGGTAGCGCAACCTTAACTCCCGGGCGCTGAACGACCAGGTCGCAAAAATTGGCCGCAGCCCATCGTCAAACAATATGTTTCGGCTTGCGTCGAAGTGTTTTGGCGATCCAAGTGGTTCTCAGCCAACCGGATGCACTTTGGACGGTAAAATCCAGACAGAAGGCTTGGTGTTCTGCTTCTCTCGTTCTGGTAAACGAGGCCGTCAACCGGCTCTGTTTACGGCTGGCGGTTCAAGACAGAGCTGGCGCTCTTTTCCCAGATTTGCTCTGAAAGGATTCGCAGCCCAACAAGCAAGCAAGCGGCGCTAGTCACTAAATGTCTTGTGCGGCATTAGCTTGCCCGGGATGGGATGGAGATGAGCCGATGTTGGTATCCGCAATCTGGTGATAGCCTTGTGCTCTAGCAGCGGCCGGGTCTTCAGATCTTGGGATCCATAATGGAGATGCCGTCTTCCCCGGAGACGGACGGTCTGAACGCTGACATGATGTGCCGCAAGGCCCGCGGTTCGCCGGCAGTGGTAAAAAGAGGGCCGCCGGGCAGAGAAGAAAAAAACTCTCACCAAAATCTCCTGGGTCAAAATTAAGGATGTTTGGTGCCCTGGAAGTAAACGACACCTCATTTCCTGGTGGGTGCGCAACCTCAAGGTGGTCCTCTCTGAACCCTGTCCCGCTATCTCGATGGTCGTGCCCGCGCCATGACTGAGTGTGGTTGGACCGCGAACAGCAGGGGAGAGAAACGTCTCATTATCTGATAGCTTTGCGTTCATTTGCATAGAGAAATGAGATGAACCGACAAAGACAGAGGGGGTTCCCTGGCGGTCAGGCACTGGCGGTCTAGGATAGCGATGTCGGAGACGTCCCCTCGTCTCCGCAATTAGTTTCACCACATGGGTTGTAGGTTAAGCCGCTGGAAGCCTGCAGAATGAAAACCAATATCTAAGCTGTAGTACGGAGTATACCATCCCGCGTACGAATCCTTGGAGGGATTACATTTTCATCTGAGAGAAGTTGGAGAACAAGAGATGAAGCTCTATGCTTCAGGATCTAAGTGTCATTGGCGATTGGCAAGGTTGCATTCAACTACTGTCGGGGAATGCATCTGTGCACCTCCCATGTGCAGGGGAGGGAACTTCCGAGCTATCATCGGCGGACTAGCCCAACGTCTCGTCGCTATGTTGCGTTGTATGCCTGTACGGATAGCTTAGCACAGCTCAGTTTCCAGACCCTTTCAGCTCGAGGCTACCACGTCAGATAGTATGAGGTACTAAAGTCACGCGGATGATGGGAGTGTCGTCCCTAACAGGCTACTAGGTGACAATGGTTGAATTATGAAAAGGCCTGGTGTCTGTGGTTTTTCTTACGGCATTGGCCACCCGAGTTTGTTAGGGACTGGTCGCCAAGAAGGCGGGACTGTTCGATGGAGAATAAATCAGCTGTGCTGGCTGTCTGTCACATACGCCATCTC